GGGTGGGTTGGGAGGTGAGACGTGGTGGGATGGAGGACGTTCTAGTGCTGGGTTGAAGTAGTTGAGACGTTGAAGGTGGTAAGGGAAGCTGGATTCGGTCTTGCTAAAGTTGTAGCGGGAGAGCTGGTGGTGGAGTTGCGGGGTGCAGGGCTCAGAGCGAACAGGGGAGTCTTGGTATAGAGGTAGAGAGGAGAATATATCCTGAGAGTGATCGGAGGGTGAGGGCGTTGAAACCCTGGTGGTCGGTGGGTTGCCCGTAGTAAACTGTAAAGCATCTGAGGACAGAACGTCGAAGTTTTCAAGTGTGTTGTCGTGGTATTGAGGAAAGGCAGTATCGGTTAGATCATTGAGCGCATGGATTAAGGATTCGTCTTGTGGTATCTGTGGGAGGACAGGGTCGTATGACGGGTAATTAAACGCCTCATGAGACAATTCCATAGTATGAGTGACACCTTCGAGTGGAAAAGACTGGATGTGGATAGGTAGATACGAGACTGGAGAAGCGGTAGTTGCACGGCATGATGGAATATGAGCGGACAGCTTCTAGAAGTATACTAAACACCCCCTTTGTTTATGTTTGATTTGAGACGTCCGAGACTTGCATATGAAGCCAACGATCTTGGTCTATGAAGGCGTTCGGAAACATGGTTGAGAGGTGGGTACCCATGGTGTGGAAATCGTTAATTGGTCTTCGAACACCGTGCGGACGTAAGACAAACGGAGAAGCCCAATGTGGCTGAAAACCATGCAAAAAAGAAGCTCTAGAGAAGCTTGATTCTACTGACAACGAACAAAAGAATGGAATGTATAAACAGACAAGAGGGCATATTATTTCTCTTAGATGCTTGGTTAAACCAGAAATCCTAAATGTTCTGTGAAAGGACTTAGACGGAGAGGTCGCGCTTACTTGGGAGCTGTAGAAAGTTCGCGAAGATTTACTGCATGCAGCTTAGGGTATTTAGGGGGGGAAATGTTCAGGGGTTGAGAAAGATGCTTAAGACACAGCAGAGTGCGCTACGTACTAACATTTCCGGCCTTAGCGGAAGAGTTGAGACAAATGCCACACGAGACATGTGAAATCAGAGGCAACCGAGCGTGTCCAAACATGTGCAGCGACCTGGTTAGATGGAATGGATAGTATTCTTTGACAGTTTAGGTATTAAACAGTTTATCGGCTGGCCTTTAGAGCGTGAATGTGTTGCTGTTGTTGGTGAGGAGAAAGGGCTGAGAGGAGGTGGGTTCTGGAAGACGAATAGGACGCTAGGCTGATTGTGCTCCGCTTGTTCTCTGCTTGTTCTAATCTCAACCTCCACTCACTGGACTTTCCGTCTTTATTAACACCCACTCACACACGTTCTTACTGTACTGTTTCCAGATATCTCAAAGTCATCAGAAATATGCATCGTTACCACTTCATCATGAAAACTGTAGTTCTCAATGCTCTGCTTGCTATAGCTGATTAGATGCATGATAGAAGATAATGCACGTATGTTTACCTTGACATCTACCAAGTGGAGAGAAAGAATAGTCAATATTATGATTTTTAGTGAAGCAAGTATTTACGGTCCAGGCGATGATTTCAGGGAGCATCGGTACTCGTTGAGATTTGTGTCTTATACTTATGCGGACCGCACTGATAGGTTGACGCAGGCGGAGAGAGACATATTTGGAGTACTGTCCACTCTCCTCAACATTTTTGCACCGCTACACGTGACTCTAAACAGTATATAACAGACTAAGTTGGAAGCCGGGAAATCAGAAGATGCTGACTGCAGTCATGTTTCATCATTTCTGGTCGGTCGGCTGACCCTGGTGAATAACCGTGTCGTGAATTGCTCATTTAACTCTGCTACCACAACATTTGCTCGACATCCGCTTCACCGCACACCCTTTACCCATCTCTGATCAATTTCCGCCCAGCTCCGCTCACTTCTACTCTTCAGCTTTTTCTCGTTTCTACTCTCACTTCTACTTTCACTTCTTCTCAATTCTACTCTTCAACCCTCTCAGTCCGGACTCTTGCCCTCTCATAAGCCCACTACCCGTATCTAGAAAAATATCCTCGCCTTAGCTGCTTAGTATAAGGTTACCACTTTGACTGCGTCAACCACAGCAGGTCAGTGCTCTTAGCATTCTTCTCAGATTCGGTCCCCAATACTACTACCTGCTCGTCATCAACCGTCCCAATTTCATCTCATGTTTGCCGGGCTATCATTTGTCTCATGCTAATCACCTTGCTTCCTAGCTAGTTTCTTGACCCTAGTCAACCAAGGTGCGCGCCTCGCTTTGACTTCTGCCTTTACCCTGTGATGACTAGCAACCTTTGAGTTTTTTGCTTACCGGCTACCCTAGAAAGGCCTCGTAAGCCGTCAACATGCCTATGAACTGGAATTCAGAGGCAGATGCCAAGGTAAGGCGTTCTTGTCTATCTATGTATCATAATTACGCATGTTAAACCAATTCGCCACAGCTCTTCACCGAAATTCTCGTACAGTTCGATCTCAAGTTCACCAAAGAGATCCTAGCTAGTCTCGCTGCAGCTATGGGCCCTGGTTCGTATACCCTGTCTTTACTCATATCTGCTCTTCAATCACCCTTTCCGCCTGCTGGGAGTATTGGAAGAACGAGCCGTGATGATAGGCAAATCAGCTAAACCAAGTCCGGAATTTAGATTGCACCCCCAAAGCGATTTCAGAGCATGTTCGTGTTATCAGAAACAAGGTCAAGGGTGCTGGCACTTCCGCCCCAGCTACTCCTACAAAGGCTGCAAAGACTACACCCGCCCGCGGCAAGAAGTCGACTCCGAAGTCTAAGCTTGCGTCCTCCGTCAATGATAGCCCTTCAGATAACGAGGAAGTACTCCCGATGACTCCGACGGCCGCTAAAGCAGGCAAAAAGCGCGGCCGCACTACCGCATCATTGTCTCCACTCTTAGATGAGATCAGAGTCGCAGCCTGCGACGATGAAGACAAGTACGAGGGTGGCAGTGTGAAGCGCGTCAAGACCTAAGGGCTTGATGACGATGTCTGTTAAAGGAGTTTCGAGTCCAATGGTATCGCCTTCATGCGTTAGAAAAGGAACGCTTTGGGATTTCTTGCGAATGGCGTGGCAAAATTTACTCTGAAAGGCTTGCACTAGGTCAGAATTGCATGCGAAAAATCGTATTCGAAAAATCGTATTTGAAGATGCCCAAAACCCTACCGATGTAGCACGATGCGGCGCGCGATGTATGACAGTGGGGAAAGTCGTTTTCTTACTGGTTGATTCGCTCCTTGGTTTTTTTTCTCATTTGGCGCAAGGGATTCGGATATTTCATGGCATTGGCATTGGTCTTACCTAGTACTACACCGGGCATCCACTGTCGGCATGAATATCAGCTCTGGGAATCGGAGTTCAGGCATTTTTGCTAAAGTTACAGAAGCATTCTCGTTTTAGCAATATAAAACTCTGTAGTACGAGACTGAACTTAGTACAGATGTTGAGTAGTGAAGTATATTCTACGGTGGAAGAAAATTGGTTTAATATCTCCATGGCTCTCTCCTTTCTCTTCTCCCAAAGAAGGCCAGGTATTATTCCTAACCTAACTCGACTATTAGACTTGAATCGTATCTGTGAATGTAAGCAGCTCTTATGCCCTATTCCCATGTCTCAAGGAAAGGTTGCCAAGGATAGATATGAACAATGATTAAATACAAATTCGGAAGAACAGGCGATGCCATACCGTGGAAATTTCAAACGCGGGGGCCCAACATGGGAGCTATCGTCCTAGCGCTGATTTCGATACTGCATGTAGGTGCCTTGCAAAGGTGTTGTAAAAGTAGAGTTGCTTTCATATCTATGATTTCTGTCGCTAGGTAGTCTACAAATATTCTTCCCAGACCACCTTTTTGAAACCTATGTCTAGCTCTCAGAAGCAGTTTTCAGTGCTGGACAAATACCACTCAGTGCGCCAATGCCGGATGCATACCCAGAACTCCACACGTTTCCTGATCACCGCAACCCGTCCATGGTTACAATAAAATACAAGCTCCGTGTTATATCCCCCCATTTTTCACCCACACCCCATTATGAATCCCCCTCCTTTTTACTACCATCCCCTTCACCTTCTCCCTTCTTCCCCCAATTCCACACCTCCCAGATCTGCTCCATAATCATACTCCCATACCCCCTCCCCTCCTCCAACGCCTCCCTCTCCTCCTGCAACCTCCTCTCCTTCCACCCCTCCTTCTCATCCCCCATCCACACCTTCTCCAGCAACCCCCTCTCCCGCACTCCATCCCTCCTCCCCAACTCCCGCAGCGCCTCCTCCCTGACCCTTCCAACCGCCTCCCTCTCCCCCCGCTCCCGCTCCTCCCGCTCCCTCAACGCCCTCTGCACCTCCCTGGCCCGCTCCGTCGGCAGCGCTGAGTTATCCGCCAGCGGCGCAACGTGCTGCCAGACGCCGCGGCCCGTGTACGACCGCGCGGCCTGGTTCGCCGACACCACCCACACCGCGCCCAGCGCGAACGTGTACAGGTCCAGCTTGCGCGGCGGCAGCGCCATGATGGCCGGGCAGCCCACCAGGCACGCCAGCGCGAGGTTGCGCTTCAGCGTCTCGTATTGCTCTTGGCGGCGCTGTGCGAGCTGCTGGTCTGTCGGGAGCGGGGAAGACGAGGGGGAGGAGGGGGGAGTCGAGGTTGGCATTGTGGTGGTGGTGTTGGTTGTGGTTGTGGCAGCCAGTGGATGGTTTGGGGAGTTAATTGAGCGGGTTTTGGCGAGTTTGTTGGTGGGTTTAAGCGTTGTGGCATGCGTGGGGTTTGTGTGGTGGAGCGTGTTGCATGAGCTATGAAATTTTGGCCCGGGATTTGCGCGAGATCACGAGCTTGCGGTTGCGGTTGTCCCTTCAAATCGCGAACATTATGATTTTCGGTATCACAAAAGACTACAAAAGTTTTGGACTAGTTTCCGACTCAACAAAGCGAGCGGAAAATTAAAGCAAAAAGCAAAAAGCAAAAAGAGAGCGACACAGAGAGGATTCGAACCTCTGCGACCGAAGCCATATGATATCGAGAATATTCGAGTCATACCCATTAACCACTCTGGCACTGTGTCTTTTATAGCATAAAAATAAAGTAGTTGAATATATATCAAGAGTGTAGCCAGGGGCGGCACGGATTTAACCCTTTCCGGTTGGTTGTCGCACCAAACTTTGGTGTTCGGATGCGGAAAGCTTGCGGAAAGCTCGCGGAAAGCTTGCGGAACCCATGCTCACTCCGTATCTCAGTAGAGAAACTTTTGGTTGGATCTATCATCTACATATGCCCCATACTCCTCAATGTCTATATGTCTACAATACACCAATATACTCGTACACTCATACAGTAATAATACACGTACTAACCTTAATAATACAGATGTAGGATGTGTACAAAACCCTTAGAATGTTACCATGTATTTACCCATATGTGCAACGAAGCTGCATATTTAAATTAGCTCATGCAAAAATCCACTTCCCATCTTGACAAACAAGCTCAGCCTTCCGCAGCTTTGCGTTTCTCGGACTGGCGTCTTTAGGGATATCAGCCATATCATATTTTGTATCTGGTGCCTTGCGCTTTTCCGGCGGAGCACTCTGTTTTTGTTTCTTCGGCGGTGGACTCATTGCAGGCGGCGGGGTTAACCTGCCCTCACGGCCCTGAGGGTTTTCCTCGCTTTCGTTATCATCAAGCTCGCCCCACTTGCGTTTTCTTGTGCCCTCGGGAAGCTGGCTTTGACGCCACCGACGAAGTTCACTCATTTTTAGTCTCCTTTCCACTTCATCCGAGATATCTTCGAACTCTATTACCGGGGGGTTGGAATCGTTTGCGGTTTTTAGATGTTCAAATGAAGTGTAGCAATCTGATTCAGATAGTCGCCTGTGCCGTGAATCCTCCGTTTTCGCCTTTTTATGTGGGCTGAAATCGGATTCTTCTGATGGCCCTTCAGAAGCCCGCCTCTTAGTAGGGCGATTACTATCCGTCTTGCTGTTCAAATTTTTCTTGCAAAGCCTTATGTATATAGGACGGTCACAAAGCAGTTGATTATTGAGCTCTGAGATAGCGTTCTCTGCATGCGCCGCTGTTGTCGTAGTAACGAAGCCGTAATGACCCAGCTGTCCCTTTTCAAGGCTCCTTGGTATGATGATAGATTCTCTGCAGGCTCATTATTAGAGCTGATCCTTAAGATCCTTAGAACGCAGAGCTAGGGCCAATTTTTGTGGAGCTTGGCAGATGATTACGGTGCTACTCACACTTTTGTTGATCCGAAGAAAGCTCTTAAGTCATTGTCTCTTGTCCTGAGGGAAAGATTTCCCACAAACAACCTTCTCCCCTCAGCCATAGCCAGTCTGGTCGCTTTAGCGATATCACTATCACAGCCCCTTGCGCCTTTAGAGGGTTTAGTATTAATATTGGTATTCGAGTGATCAGCAATTGATGGTGTTTCTGTGGAGGAGTGTGGGTTTCGCAAAATGGGCGGCGGAAAAGACGTTTCTCGAAAGTTCACATCCGGCAGCTGAGTTGTTGCTGGAGCATCTAAAGACTTTATGCTAGCGCCGTTATCACGTTCATCGAAATGGTCTGCCTGTATAATAGTCAATGCCACCCTGGAAGATAAAGGCCGGAGACAGGACGTGGCGCCTGGAATGGACTACACGCGGATTGCATTGCTGAGTTTAACTCGCCATTTAGGCGCATTCGAACAAAAATGAAGAATGCCTCAGAAGTGCAGAACAGTAAAAAGATGGGTTATGGACCCACCAGTAAGTTTCGCACTCTTTCCATGTTAGCCCTTACTTCACTGGTTTGACTCTTCAATGCCCGAATCTCCTCTACAATCCCCGGAATACCTGACACCACCGCATTAACTCCCTCGATTGCTTGATTGAGGAAGAGGCATTGGGCATCTAGGTTGAGGATGTGACCTTCAAAGTTCTGCGTTACGTCAGTATTACCAAAGCCATGTGACGTAATTGAGGAGAAGTAGAGGGTACCGAAAGCATTTGTGCAGACATGTTAGCGGGGCGTGGTGTTATAACGGATTGGAACAGGAAGTGAGAGGGGGAAACGACATGGTTGGCTCGATTGAAGCTTTGCTGTTGACAGGCTGTGAGTTTTCGGCAGGTACGGCGAGCGAAGATTCGAGCGGAGAAACTCGGCCCGTGGCTAGCGCGGGAGATCTGCAGTGGCGCAAACTTTAAATTAAAGTAGGTTTGCCCCGCTTTTGACATATGCCAGGGCCCCGCTATTGATTGGATGTCTGCTCAGAATTGGAAAACCCAGTCACTGTTTATATTTCATGTATTTGAGGAGCCTCAATGTTTATATAATCTACTTGGGGTGGCTATAGGTACCCGCATCCGTTCCGTTACTCATGTCGTCAAGAACCTTGATGCAGGACTTTGTTCTGAGTCCATGTTATCACATCACATTCCGTTCAGCTTCTTCACGCCCATAGTAACTCTATCCAAAACGTCTTCTAAAATCATCAGATCCATCACGCCGGCTTTCGCACCTTCCTCTCCTTCAGCCTCCCATAGTTCCCCACCCTCCGTTAGAGCCTCCTTGAATTTCCCAGCAGCTTGTCGTAGGGGATGCAAGTATGACCCTCCAATATCATTTCCCTCATGCAATCCAGGGACATCGAGTATTTTGTGCAGGAAATTCGCGGTTAGTAAGAGGTAGTAGAAATTTAGAGCCGCGAGGTAGAAGCTCAGCTCCATGCGAAATTGCGCCCATGATTCTGGAAGTCCGCCAGGTGTAGCGACAGAATGGGTTAAATCCGGGAAGAGAAACGGCGAGACGGTAGAAAGGGCGACAGGGGTAGCGAAGATGGATGGCTGCTCTTCCGGTGGTGAATGTGATGGGGATCTCGTTGCGTCTGTTGGATGGGACGCTTTTGAAACGGCTGATGGCATAGTAGCCTCAAGGGTTTCGCCTTTTAACCAGCCGACCGCACTGGCTTTAAGATTTTCGTATGGGCAGTGCTCCAGAGTATCGCGGATAAAAGACAACCGCACAACATCTGAAGGGTGCGAGCGGAGGAGCGTTGAAGTGAGATAGTGAGCATGGTATCGGAGAGTAGGCGATGGAGAATTGGCGGAGATAAGGGAGGTGGCCTGAAGATATTTTGCAAATTGTTCGTCATCCAAAGGCTCGCCTATCTGGTTTTCCTCGAGCGCAAGGAGGCCGAGACAAAGAATCGCATCAAGCAGAGATTCTGGCTCTGCGCCGATACTTGAAGGACTATCACTCCCAACAAAGTTGTGAAGGATAACTGCATGCTCTGGAAATATTGATATTTTGGTGTCTGATGGTGTGGATTCGTACAAGGCCTCCGATATTTCCCTTGCTGCAAAGAGGAACAGCGATCCGGTTTTAGATAATGGGATGTCGTCTGCGGAAGCTGGAGGATCGTTTTCCTCGCTGCGTTCTCCAGCCTCTTCCGTGCGAGAATCGACAATGGTTTGATACAAATCCTCTGAGCTCACACCTAAGTCCTGAGCAATAGCTACAAGCTGTCCTACAATAGACGACCGTGCTTGCAAATCCTCCTCTCCCGCAAACCTATCCGCATACGTAGTTTTGCCGGGTATAATTCTGGCAGGCTGTAGCTTTTCCATTAGCCTGCTAGACCAAGCAAGACCTGGGACATCCTCAGCAGATGTTAATGACAGCATGTAATCCTCTAGAATATGCGTGATAAATGATTGCAAAAGGCGCTTGTTCAAAGTGATTTCGTTTTCCGAAACCGGCTCGTTTTGTGCTTCGGGGTCAGGTTCTGGCAGTTCCGATGAAACTTTCAACATGTTCCCACTGTTTACTCTTGGTGGAAGATGAGGTCTCTTAGTGCCAGAGAGCGTCTTAGCAAATTGTACGGCAGCCAATGTAAAGGCATCAAGATGTGTCTCAGCCTTAGAATACCCTGCTAAGACGGCTTGTAGACTGGTGGAAAGAAACCGGCTAGGATACTTTGTTTTAACCCGTTGATGGAGAGTCGCCAGCATTGAGAGCAGTATCTCGAATTGGAGGTATGAGAGAGGAGGCTTGGCTGGAGTTTTGGTAGCCTGGCTAGTACTCGATTCCCCAGCCTCTCTAGCCGGTTGTTCAATGACCGATTCTCGTAGTGCTTTTGAAAGGGCTTCTTCCTCTTCTATCTCTGAGCTTGCTGCTGGTTCCTCGAACTCCAGCAGTCGCAACGCTTCAGTAACCTTGAGAATGACCTCACGGGGATTTCCTCGGACAGCGATATCCTGGAGACATTGCTGCGAATCGGGCAAAAGTGGTAGTAGGAGGTGCACAAGGTCCCACCCGATATTTACCGTGAGTTTTGTGTCCTGTAGGACTTGATGCAGGATTGGAAGGTTGTCCGCAGTGAGATTGTATTCGATAATTGTAAGATAGGTGATATAGTCTGTGGCAGGTGGCAGAGCTGCTAAAAGCGGGTTTTGCTCTTCATCTCCCATTATGACAGGATGCAAAGGTAGAAAAACTCTAGAGAGAAGTGCTTGGCTAGCAAGTGAAAAGTGTCTGTATAGTGATGTTTTGGTGTTCGCTGCTTGTTCTTTGCGTCATGCCTAGTCCCAGCGCGCCTCGGCAGAATTTCATTCGGAGCGGGCGTTGCGCGGGGAACTGCACCTGTGGTGGGGTTCAGATAAGCGGTCCAGCATTGAATGGGATTTATAACGCGTTCTATGTCTGGGTAGTAATTTTATCTTCTATCCACGTATGAGACGCTGAGATCGTATAGTACAAATATAATACATGGAAAGCAGAAGATTCGACGCTTCAAATGCGACAAGAAGTGGCTCCAAATCTGAAACTGAGATCATTCTATCCAGTTGACTTTTCATCATGTCAAGTACAAAGTAGGCACACTGCCATTACTATGAGCGTTGGCGCAATAGATAATAACCCTTCAAATGCTTCCTATAATGCGCCAGCGTGATGTACGCCTAGACGGATTCCGGGGTTTGCTTCGATTCGGGGTGCTGGCCTGATTGTCTACTGGATAAATTCCAAAAGCGGAGGCCATGTTTAAGTGATAGTGAGTCAGTGAGGTCGTGTCTCTGATCC